AAGGACACAATAAAATAAAACATCTACGTTGTTATTGTTAACTACAACTAAAACTAAGGTAAACCTTTTTCATTCACTGAAATAAAGTTAAAATAACATACAATCTAAATATTAGATTAAAAACAGAAAAAGTTGAAGTTGTACTACAATTGTTAGAACTCAAACTGAAACAAAAATCAATCAAAATTGAATTCATAGTATAGAAAAAAACACTAAAAAAGCTAATTTAATTTACAATTTTTTTTTTAATTCTTAAACTTAAAATAAGAAAAGTATTATAATAATATTATAAATGCTAAGAAGAATAACAAAACCACATTAAAAATTTACAAAAAAAATTGAAAAAAGGAAAATATAATATTAATACTTAAATAATATAAAAAATAAATGACAAAAGCACCTTTAAAAATTACTAAAACTAAAATAATTCTAAACTAGAATGCAAAAAATTTATTAAAGTTAAATACAAAAAAACTAAAATTAAAATGGAAAAATAAGTAAATAAATATTCTTTATATTTATTTATATATAAACTAATTTCGGTGTTATTAGCATTTATATAATTTTCTTTTATACATTTTTTGCAAATATATGTTTATATAGTTTTTGTTCATTTTTATTTTAGTTTATTTTAATACATCAAGTTAAACAATTAAAATAAGAAATTTTGAAAATAAGGAAATTAGCTGAAATTGTATATTTTCAGTTAACGTTTATTTTATTTCACATATACTGAAAGTGTGCTCTTTCAGTATTTGTGTCTGTACCTTGCCTGCTGCTGTTTAAAAACATGCCCATCATGGTTCGGGTTCCTCTTGACATGACATTCGCTCTGTAACACTTTCATTCAGGCGCTGATCTCAGGTCAGAGATCCTGCTGTACAGGGGTCAAGTGAAATGAAAGTGGAAGTTGAGAGTGAGCAGAATGAGAAAATGCTTCACATGAATCAAAAGCATCTCAAGAGACATATGAGAGAGCTAACAGCCTCACATCACTGAGCAGGAGGAGAATGAAGACACTTTCACTGAACAAAAGAGAAAAAATGACAGCGACAGAGTGATCTGCCTGCTGTCTGACTCTTCACTACTGCTGTTCCTAATTCTTATTTTATTTACATGTTTAGTACAGTTTATTTAACTACTTGAAAAATTAAGATAAATAAAACCTAAAAAGCAATATTAAAACAAAAGCACATGACTAGTTCAACAAAATAAAATGAAAACAGAAAATATAAAAAGAAAAGCTAATTCAAAATATTAATAAATACTATAATAGTATATAAATAATACTAAAATAAAATATTTTGTCTTGTTAAACACTGGTGTTTTTCCCTCAGCATTTAGACAGGCTCGTATAACCCCACTACTTAAGAATCCCACCCTTAACACATCTCTTTTAGAGAACTAAAGACCGGTTTCCCTTCTTCCTTTCATTGCAAAAACACTTGAACGAGTTGTGTTCAACCAAGTCTCTGCCTTTCTCACACAGAACTACCTCCTGGACAGCAACCAGTCTGGTTTCAGAAGTGGACACTCAAACGAGACTGCCTTACTCTCAGTTGTTGAAGCCCTAAGACTGGCAAGAGCGGATTCCAAATCTTCTATACTTATCTTGCTGGATCTGTCCGCTGCTTTTGACATGGTTAACCACCAGATCCTCCTGTCAACCCTATTGGCAAAGGGCATCTCAGGAACCACACTCCAGTTGTTTGAGTCTTACCTCTCAGATAGGTCCTTCAAGGTATCTTGGAGAGGTGAGGTGTCCGAGTCGCAACATCTAGCTACTGGGGTGCCTCAGGGCTCAGTTCTTGGACCACTTCTCTTCTCTGTCTACATGGCATCACTAGGTTGTCATTCAGAAACATGGCTTTCAAAAAAAGACCTCTAACACTAGCTTGCTCTATTCTTTTTCTATTCTACCCGTTTTCTTTTTATTTATTATATAATAAAAAATAAAAAAACCTTGGGTACTACGATAAGCTGAGACTTGTTATAGCACTTGAGTATCATTGCTTGCTACCATTGTATATACATACATTTTTCCATTATTTCACTATTTTCTTTGTTTTCAAATGTATGATTACTACTCATGCCAATGCATTAAACTCCAGAAACAAAAAAACTAAAACTAGGCAGATAGCAACATGAACGTGTACCAGCGACTCTCTGTGTCCTTCATCTGGTCCTGAATCTCCACATGCTGCTTTAGCAGAGCCGCTCTTCACTGTCAAACACAGGACTGCATCTCTAGACAGACGGCAGATTAACCTTTTCCTGCTTTATCAAGACACCAGTCAATAACGTCTCGTGGCTCCTGGGGGTCCGTGTCCTCGTCTGCTCTGGACCCATAATATCTCATGTGTTCGGATCTAAAGGTTCTGCCATAATTAAACCTCAAAGATAACTAGCAGATGATTATTCTCAAGTACAAAATAATTTCTAAAAATGCCTTAAAAAAAACATCAAAAGATTATTATTTTTTCTACTATTAGGTTTGGTGTAAAAACAGATAAAAGCAACTGTATCTAAATCTGTATTTTGTTAAACTATAAACCTTGGATGTAATGAAATGCACCAGAATGTGCACAATGTTGCATTAATTATTAACACTCATGTTGTTTTAATTATAATCCAGATTTTGCTCTCAAAACTCATGAGAATTAATGCAGTACTTTATAACGTTTCATTTCACTCAAAATAAAAATAGACACAAATGAGTCAATAGTTGTCATACAGTAAGAGTTTTATGGCTATAAAATAAATGTGGAGAAGCTCAGATGATTTGATCTTAATGAGAAATGTTTTGAGTCCATACTGAGACATGGTCATTATGATTAAAAGTAAATATAAATAGTAAAGTAAAAAAAAAAACATCAAATAAACAAAAAAAAAACGTATTTTATTTCTCATTTTCATGTTGTTTTACAGGACTACTACTAACTGCTATTAATAACTAAACATAAAATTACTAAACTAACACACAAAATTACTAATACTTAATAAAAAAACAAAAAAAATCACTAAAACGTTCAACTTAAAAACATGACAAAAACACAACAAAATTACTAAATCCAACTAAACTACAAAAAAAGTCAAAAACACAACAAAATAAAAAAAATTTACTAAAAAAATAAATACAATTCAATTACTAAAACTTTAAAACAAAATAAAAATGAGAAAAACATACAACACAATTACTAAAACTTTAAATTTAAAGAAAAAAAATCGAAATCAAGATATTAAACTACAATATTATAACACAATGATACAAAAATTCATTGAGACTGCAGAATTTTGTATATTTGCAAATCTGAGAAGTTTGAGAATTTAATATCTCTTCTGAAACGGACTATTGAGGTCTTTTTCTCAGGAGAAACATCTGAGAAGCTTCAGGCTTCAGCCAAAAAATTCTTGCTTGTATATGACAACTGAAACCCCTGCGATTTTTCACATTTAGTTTTTACTTTGCTTATAGCAAGCAGATTCACCTGGAGTCCTTGTGGCTTCCCAGGAAAATCCAGATCTACAGTCGTGAGAGTTTAGTTCACTGGCCTGCAGTGAAACAGCTGCACAACATCACCGCGCTCAGCAGCTGCACAACATAAAAATAGAGTCCAGCGCAACAAAATCTATTAGCTTCGGCCCATTGCTTTTTGCCATCTTATTACATTTAATGTGAGATTTGTCAAAGTGGCCATGTAACTTCTACATCACAAAAAATAATATTGTTTTGCAGATCATTACCTGTTATGATAATTCCCAAAACAACAATGTGGATTACTGTGATGTTTTTATCAGCAGTTTGGACTCTCATTCTGATGGCACCCATTCACTGCAGAGCATCCATTGGTGAGCAAGTGATTGAATACTACATTTCTCCAAATCTGATGAAGAAACAAACTCATCTACGTCTTGGATGACCTAAGGGACAGTACATTTTCAGCAAATTTTCATTCCTTTACATTCATCCATGCACCAATCAAAACCAATCGCACAGATTCCAGTTAATAAACAGGATTCGAGCATGAAGATGTGAGCTTCTTATTTATTGTTATCAAGGAGTTCATGTTGGTTAATTGCATTGCTAGCCGAACAACACGATCAACCCTATTAGCTTCTGTAAGGCTCACCGTCTGGCACGAGAAGAAATGCTGCTGGGTTAAACATACAGTATATCTTAATGGCAATTACATATGTTTAGTAAGTACATTCTCCTCTACAAGATATTCATGTACAATATACAAGTTTAAAAAATATAGTTTGCATTGAGTTCCACAACCGTTTCGTTCTCTTCACGATGACAAAAATTCACATTAGTTGCTTTGGACCGTAATGCTTTCTGTGTAGCGAAGAGGAACGTGACATTGTTTGTTGGTTTCAAAAGAAAGTAAAGGAAGATAATTGGTCACCAACACACAGGAACGTGTGTCATGTTTACAAGAAACAAAAAGCATGGCAGAAACAGAAGACCGGACTTGAGAAAACAAACAAACAGCGGTATCTGCAAGACACAAACACACTTCACACACTTCAGGACGATAAACACACTACAGTATGCCGAATACATGATGGGCTGAGCTCGTCGCCTGCCAGAAAACCAATGTTATAAACGTGCAAGGAATCAACGTTCAAGATGAAGAAAGCAAGAAAGTCAAAGCCAGATAATATGAAAGTAACTGTGATCTTAAAACACCTAAGGCTGTGAACAAAGACAACGTCTGAACCGATGGTTATGAAGAAAGAAGCACTTGCGAAAACATTAAACAAACGATTTATGAAATACTGCTGATGCTGAATACGAGAAAAGCTTGGTTTAGTGAAGCTTGCAAAAACTAGAAATGCCAAAAAGTTATCATTGCAAGAAAGCAAAGGCATGTGACCTGGCAAAACAAGTTTGTCCATCATAGAGGGCCCGAATAACACTTTAAAACCCATAATTATATCCACAGCTCTTTACAAGCGAGAAATCACCAGGGTTACGAATGTGCAGTCACTCTTAAAACAGTGATCTGGGAATTAAGTTCATACGCTGCTTTGACGTAAATACAAATTTGTGTTTTTTTGTTTTTTTTTAAAGACAGCAAAATCATTAAAAATTAATAAGAACCAGATTTCGCAGTCAAGCCAAAGCAGCTGCTGGGTGGCCTGATGCAGCAGAACAATAATTCAGTAACACAAACAAGCCAGTGACACGGACGTTTTGTCCCACGGAAGAGTCAGGACGTCGCTCTCGAGGGGGGCGAAAAGGCAAACCGAAGGTGTGCTGAAGTTTCTCCTGCCGTTTGAAGCAAAGTCTTAAGGACGCTGGGCTTAAACTGAAGGCAGAGGCTGTGAAAGTGGACTAGAATGATTCAGATCCTCTGATCTGAATTTAGCACTAGCACTCGAATGGCACAAACGGGCCACTTTTACTGAATATAAAATGAATGAACTGTATTGGAAAGATGAGGTGCATCTCTTTCATTTGCCGAGGAAAGGGATGCACCTCATTCTTTTCGCTTTTCTTCTATTCCCAATTATTTTAGCAAAGGAGTATGTGATGATAGTGTCCATTTTCTGTTTGAATATCACACTAGATGTATTCCAGAAAGCGTTCTTGCTTTGTTTAGAAGAGATGGAAAAAGAAACAACAATGTAAGAGAGGAACGAAAGAGCGTAAGCTTTTCCCACACTCGCTAAAAGTAGCCTGAATCGATTTCAGAAAACTCCACACCCCCAAAAAAACATGATTTTGCAAGGGGCTGTTTTGGGTTTATTCTGTATAAGGCTTCATGATCGTCACAGTGGTTTCTTAGTGTGGGGTTAAAAGGCTACGTAGCTGGAAGGAGAAATAAAATTCACTCCATCCACATGTCTCTGAGCTTGTGTTGACCGGTCTCTGGAATTTGTTTTTCTTCTTTTTTTTTTTTGTTTTTTTTCCTTTGTTGTTTTTTTGTCGTCTCTCCGTTTAGTCATGATCCCTTCTTAAGTGTTCAGGAGCGTCTGGCAACAACAAAAACAGTTCCTGTCTGGGAATATAAAAAAAGAAAGATACAGTCATTACTGGACTGAAATGAGCCAAAACAAACTCTAAAAGCCTATTCAATAACTAAAAATTTTTAGCACAAGGCGTTACAAAGGTGAAATTTTGCACTGCAGATGGACGTAGAGCTGTTAATATTGTGTCTTCATGTACAAGCAACATCAAATCTATAGTATCCAGGCAGAAATTACTTTTGGGTGAATAATGTCATTTTGACCCTTGTGCTGTGCTAAAAAAAATTTTAAACCGTTTACAGTTACTGTGAGGATATGTGAATCATGAAGTCATTTGAGCGACTGGTCCTGGACTACCTGAAGGACAAGGGTCCGAGGCTAAAAAAAACCCCTGATTGAACCCAAAGATTGAAAATGCTTCAAATTTTAAGCATTTTTTTAGGCTGGTCATTTCTGACTGAGGACACCACAAGGTGGGGGGAAAAAAATCCAAAAAAATTATTACTTTTTTTGTGAAGTTGTTATACTCTGTGTGAGCAAATTCAGTAAGTTTTAGTTCAATGCGATAACATTAGCTAGGAAACATTAGCTTCTCTAGGTCAAAAAGACACAATAAGGGTTAATAAGTTATTTTTTGACGTGAATAGGCCTCTAAACTATCTAAAAACAAATGTAAATGTGTCTGTTGAATCTGGGACTGAACATACTGTGATGTGTTGTGGTGAAGAGTGAGTCGTCGTACCTGTGATTTGGACAGTCTCATCTGTGACTCTTCTGCTGTTGCATAAGACCCACATTCTCATAGACTCGAGAACTGTCGTCCCTCATGCTGAAAACACATAGATTTACATCTTAACCAGACATCATTGGACAAGTTTCCAACTTATAGCTGGCATGAAACCACAACTGACCCTAATTTTCTTAACGCATGTTGCTGGTCTTAATGTAAACTATTCATCTGTGCATTTCCAAAAAATAAATAAATAAACAAACAAACTATTAAATGTTTATTTTATTATACTTTATCTGTTTGCATTTATAGATTGTAATTACAATCCACTTATATACACCAAACTTTACAGTTTTATTCCTATCCATATTCTTAAAGTTTTTATGGAAGGGATTGTTCATATAACATTCACCTGGTTTCTTTAACTAAAACCATGGTGACATTATTTTCTAATTTATGGAGTAATAAAAAGACAAATCCAAGATCCATAAAAAGCTGTAACATTTCACCAAATTAAAGTATTTTGCACCTGGTTTTATCCAGTTTTCAGATTTGTTCTGGAAATGAGTGCATATTTAATTTGATAATGCATAATCTTCGTATTTCAATAACATGTCAGAAAACTTAATCCAAAACATGACCTGATCTGTTTCCATTCCGTTACACAACGCTCACTTTTCACAATCCAATCAAAAACTGAAGAATAAAATCAAGTGCAGCCCAACATTTTTTCTTATTTGATAGCTCAAAATCACTCAGAATCACAATAGTAGTAAAGTGTATCGCAGCTTCAGTTTTATGTCGAATTTAAAAGCTGGTGCTTTTACCAAATCAAAATTTAGAGTTGTAAATATTATTTTATAAAATTCAAACAAAACATAGGGAAAAAAAGGTATCTAAAAATGTGCTTAAAAGGTGTTTGTCAAGAGATGTCTAATATCTATTGCTCCATTTGCCATTTATTTCTCAGACGCTCTCTCTTTAAAGTGACACGCATACTTTTCTATGAAATGAATGAAATTGTGTATGTGGAGAGCAATGGTCTGGTGTGTTCTCACTCGGCACAGGTTGGTGTTGGCGTGCACGGTGGCAGAGGGCTCTGATCTCCTCCAGTCAGGTCAGAGAGAGAATATTTGATGTTGGTGTACTCGCGTCCTTTAATTTTACTTTTCTGAAAGTCAAAGCAAACAGTCCGTGAGACTCATTCATTCTGGGAACACTGCAAATCTACACCATTTTGCTCCTCTCTTTATAAATCTGCTGTCAACAAAAGAGAAGCTTTAAAGTCTCCCTAGAGGATGAAAGTATTTGCACTAATGTTTCAAACTAAAAGTCGAACTTAATGTCTAACTAAAAGAAATAAAAGCCCCAACCGTTTAGATTTTTTAAATCATTTAACATCAGTCCATGCAAGTCTGTTTTCTTGGTTTTAAAGGTAAATTTAAGACTTTAAGACCAAGTGAAGACAATTTAAGGAATAAATTGAAGGGAAAGCAATGCGCCAATATGTTTTCTAAATGCATGTGTATAGGAAGCACACAATGAGTTGTATTAGAAACAATTCAAAGTTTGAAAATACAGCTTCCAAGTCTTGAGACATGTGAAACTGTTCAAAATGCATTGAGTTTATGGTTAAAACTAGAACAAATATCTGCCAATGGGCGGAGAAAAATCTACTTAATTCAAAGGGAAAACAAGTATTCATTCCTCATAGACATTTTTTTCTTGTTTTAACCATAAACATGCTTCATTTTGTTCAGTTTCTCAGAAAACTAGACGTCATATATCTTCATTTTGCATTTCAAGTAAATGTATTTTAATTTAAGGAAGTTTAGATATTTTTATAGGAAACAAGACAAAAATACTATGGAGAGTTTTAATTTTTTTTCAGTGCATGCAACATTTAATGCCATGAATTTAAGACTTTCTGCATTTATTCAAGACCTATTTAAGGCCTTAATTTGTGCAAGGGTGCATTAAGCCATTTGAAGACCCACAGAACCCTTCGTTTTTGATTGTGTTCTCATAACCTGCAGTGCACCACGATGGCTCCAGCCCCGGTTATGCTCTCCTGCTTCATTTTGACCTCTTCCAGGAAGTCCAGCACGCCTCCCGGGTCTCCAGGCACACCGTGGTCAGGCCAGGCGCGGAAATGGTACTGCCACACTGTACGCTCAGTATTTCCCTACAACATCAGACAGATCCCCGGTGTTAGAAAAAGACTCCTGTGTTCTGTGGTGACGTAAGCATTTCAGTTGACCTTACCTGTCCAACTTTTGACAGCTTCAGCTCTCGCAGGATGTAATCGTGCGCCAACGTTTCCTTCACGTTCCGCAGACGCATGGCTCCGTACTCCTTCAGCGCAGACACGTCAGGCCAATACTTCACACACTTACTCTGTGAAGAACAACACAACTCATCTCAGAATATTTCAGCCAGCAATGAACTATTAATACAATACTGGATATGGCTTCGCGCAATTATCAAATCACAAAGGCTGTGATATATTTAAATAAATACATGCGCTAGAGTAGGGCTGCACGATAAATCGCGTGCGATATTTAACGCGTATCTTGTCAGTAAAGCCGGTTCTTTAATCAGCGGTAAATCTCCATCATCTGCGGGCTTTCACATGGAGCAGCATTAACTACACAGAGCCATTGTTCACTGACAAGCTGCGCAAAACCACGATCATATTTTGCGCAGCTTGTCGGTGAATAACGGCTCTGTGTAGTTAATGCTGCTCCATTTACCGCTGATTACAGAATAGCTTTACTGACAAGATGCGCATTAAATATCGCATGCGATTTATCGTACAGCCCTACGCTAGAGGTTTCAGAATGAAGCAATATGTGCCAACCAGCTCTCTAAATTTCGGTGGAAGATTTCTGGTAAATTTCCAGAAAACCTTCCAGAGTGTTTTGAAACTTGTCAGAAATTTTTCACCCCTTTGCAACCCTAGTTGTCAGCAAAAGAGCTTTAAAGTCTCCTACGGTTATGATTACAACATTTGAAAATTAAGACAGCTATAAATATTAGTATATTAATTTTAATGTTTTTCTGTAAAATGAGATAAGTATTTTTATTACTTGACTTTTTTATTTTACAGTGAAATTTTCTAATTTTGTATTATATTTTGTAAATATTTTTTAGTTGTTATTATTATTTTCTAGTCATATTAATATTTAATCATATTCAAATATAAGGCCAATTTTGCAACCCCACAAACAAGCACAACAAACTTAGAGCCAGAGTTATTTTAGCATCGAGATAGTACAGTTTTCACTATTATTTTGAATGAGTTTTTATAATTGCCATTTTCATTTTAGTTAAAGTTTTAGTAATTTGATTGGCCAAACACTGCAAGCACTCGTCAGAAATGTAACGCCCCTCACCATAATCGCGAGCTTCATCTTTCAAAATGAATGTAAAGACAGAGCCTGAAAGGGGAACAGAGTCACGTGACAGACACAGTGATGAAGCTGGTATGTGTTTGTGATGTGACCCCCTCTCTCCCTCTCTCTCAATTCAATTCAATTCAATATTGCTTTATTGACATGATTGTAAATGATACAATATTGCCAAAGCTTAGTATACATGTACAAAAAGATAAAGATAATAATATAATAACAATAAGTAAATGAACATCACAGTAATATAATGGAATATTATAACATCTTAGAAGTATTAAACTGTAACAAATTATAACATGTGAACATTTGATACCACAGTCTTTAACTTACATAGAAATACGATTTAAGTCATGAAAATGTTTTATTGCTTTAGTTTATTTTAAAATCTCAATCAGAATCATAAAAAAATAACTACTAAATAAATTTGCAATTAGATTTTTTTTTCCAAATTTTGCAGCTCTACTTTTGGCAACTAATTTCAAGCTTAGAAAATGCATTATTTCACATCATGAAATAGTCGTTTTAGTACCATTCCAAATGCATTTAAATTCGGTAAAAGTTTGCATGATTACATATTTCTTTCAGCAATAAAAAAATCAGTCCATGAACCAGAATGAAAATATCTGTAACTGGTCCAGCCATTGGGAACCGCCTCACCTTTCCCCGTTCCACTTCTTTCGTGGTCATGACGATGACTCGAGAGTTCTCCTGAAACACCATCCTCCAGAAGTCACTGATGGTGTTTTGCAGGCAGCCCTGCGTGGCAATGTAGCTCCTCTTCAACTTGGAATTGTTGCTCTTAGTCTCGTTATCAGGCTGGGGACCACAAAAAAAAAAAGTTACTACACAAACTTTTTAATCCTTCTGATAGGACTTGAAGGCACCTTTATTACCATGATGATGTTGGCATTGATGTAGTCCAAGCCCGGTTCGTTCGTGTCACCGTCAGTCAGCATGACTCGCGTGTGGTCAACTGAGGAGGAGGAGACACAGAGAAAACAATATTACTGACATTGATGGTTCATGTGTTGCATGATGATGATAATGATGTTCACTCACAGGGAAGAATGTTTTTATATCTGTTCTTGTTTTTGTTTTCTGGCCGCTGGCCCTCTTTGCGACTGTAGAGCAGTTTACACTCCTGCTGCTGAAGCGTCTGTGGACACAGTATTAAAAATGATTGTCAGAACTTGACCCTTTACTGAATACATTGATTGATCAGTTAAACAGATCACTGCTTAATCTGGCACTAAACTGGGTGCTGATTGGTTCTCACCTCAAACTCCTCCCAGAATCCCTGCTTGACCTTATCTGTGGTCTCTGCCAGCTTGCTGAGCTCTCGTACCCGACTTTCGATCTCTGCTGCATTGATGCGGGTAGTGTTCAGAGGCTGCAAGAAACATAACACTGCATTGGAAAACTGTTATGTCAGGAAGAATCTTGTTCAATTAATTTCAAGTAAGTGTTCAAAAATGTGTTCAAAAGTTGGGGGGGGGGCAGTAAGATTTTTTTGTTTTTGAAAGAAGTGTCTCCTGTTCACCAAGGCTGCATTTATTTGATCAAAAATACAGTAAAAACAGCAATATTGTGAAATATTATTATAAATTAAAATAACTCATTTCTATTTGAATACATGTTATAATGTAATTTATTCCTGCGATGCAAAGCTGAATTTTAATGCGTCCTTTCTGAATAAAAAAGTATTAATTTCTTTTTTTTTTTTAAACTGACCCCAATCTATTGAGCATAAGTGTATTAATTTAGCATACAATTTTGTGATTCACAAGTGCAATTCTAAATGCATCTTTACTTAAATGGTCAATCACACACCTGTTTGAGCTGCAGGACTGTCCCCAGTGTTTCCACCATAGGGTTTTTCTTGTAATGCTCCACCAGATCTGTGAGCGAATCGAATTTCTCCCCACCTCCAACATCATACTTAAGATCATGCTGATAAAATGATAATAGAAATTATAGCCCACTTACATAACACAAATCGGGTAAACAGCCTTTTTATTACTATGATTTGGAACTAAATAAACCAATTGACCATTCAAACAGGTTTCCAATATAGACCAAGAACAACAATTAAATAACACATAATAAATACAAGAATGCATTTTAGCCTAAATATCTAAAGCATTGCAGATAAATAAATACATACATAAATAGGTATACATGTATTTAATGATTTATTATAAATATATATTTGTTTATTTAACAGTGATGGTTTAGAGCAGATGAATGTAGAAACAACTACTTATTTAAATCACAAAGAGTATTTATATCACATAAGTTGCATCTTTTCATTTAACAAACAGGTAAAATATTTCTTAAATCTACATTTAAGAAATGAGCCCACTAAATGACTAGTTGGTTGTTTAACACTTAGTTAACCATTCTTACTCCTTTCTAATTTAAAAGAAAACACATTTGACATGCAAGTCAGAATTGTAAGTGAACTTTACCTGGCAGCGTATCATAACGTGTGTGACTCTGGGTTTGCCGTCACTGGTGTCCGTCTTGTCGTCTCCGGTCCGTACGGAGAGCACAAAATCTCCCGGGTGACTCTGACTTTCTCTCACCAGGAAACTTCCATTCTTGCCCTTCTCTGTCAACAGCTTCTCGGCCTCACGACCAGATAGGTGACCATGAAACCACCTTGCAAAAAAAAAAAAAAGGACAATGTCAGAGGAGTGTGTTCGGGTTCAGACGCCAATAAAAAGGCCTATAAAAAACAACTATCGGCCCATGTATTGTCATGGAAGGACAGACAGATAATGAGCTATGCTCACGCTCACCTCTCAGAAGTGGGATCGGCACAGTTGAGCGGGTATTTCAGCTCAATGACATCTCCGTTTTTCTCTTTCAGCTGTCCGTGATGTTCCATGTAATACTGCACCAGCTCAGCCAGAGTGGCAAACTTCTCTCCACCGTACAGGTCATAATAGTCTCCCGTGTTTTGGATCTTAATGTGGGTGACGGCGCCATTTCGCCTAGTGATGAGAAGAGCTTCAATTCAGTCTGCATAAAACTTCAGATTATGATAGCAGACTGTAAAATGTTTGAATAAATGTTACAGTAAAAATATGTACAAAACTAAATTACCTTGTCATCTACAGTGAAAATTATATTACTGGTTGAAAAATGATGGTTTTGCAAGTAAAAATTATGAATTGCCATATAATTTATAGAAGGGCTGCACAATAAATGTATATTTGTCCACTGGTTATTAATCGTGAAAACGTTTAATTTTCATTTGATATTTTCCTTATCTTGAATTTGTAACAAGCCTCCACAAGCTTTCATGCTTGCGGTTGCCAGATGTCAGATGTTCTGCCGGTGGATGCCCTCCTTCCATGACTTTAGTACTGAGTAATCAACGTTAAAAAGTTTTAAAGGGTTTTAACTTAAGGGGTTCAAACACTTGATGAATTCAATACACAAAAGTGTCTTGTGAAGAGAAACGCTTAGACGTGAATACATTAAGCTACCAAGTGTCATAAACACTGACATTAACACACAGTACTGTCATTGTCTGATGGATATCAGTCCTTTTCAAGGTAAAAAGTTTAGTTTGTAGTTCAAGTAGAGAGGTATATTAACATTATATCACTTAAAGAAATACAGTTGTAAAATATACAGGCACATAATATAAAACCGGAAACACTGTCAGTATTTTACGACGAATTTCTGCCCTTTTTTAAACTTTTTACCAGGGATGCACCGATAGGTTTTTTGGGGCCGATACCGATTTTAACAATCACTTATTGGTCGATTCCGATATTTGTCACGTCATCTCTTATTTGAAATTTTGGCATCAAAATAGATAGTATCAAAAAAGTTCAAAAACACCTGCATTAAATTATACTAGCAGTTTTATTGCTGCATCATCAAATAATTTCTAATGAACATGGATTGGATCCATTTAACATTCAGCAGGCCTACATAAATACAACAGAACAAAGATACATATTAAATAAACAGTGCTTTCTAGAAAGTTTAACAGTTTTCAGGTACAGAAATAAAGTAAACAAATGTAAAATAACACTTCACTGTATAATTTAAATGCATATTAATCCTTCTTTATTGTAACAGACTTTATTATGATTAACCTTCTAATTTGTTTTTGTATACATATATTTAATATTTTTTGTAAGTTTAAATATGTATGAGATCTCCTTTACTAAGGTGGGACTCTTATTTTGACGGGTTTTCTAGTCTACGTCGGAGCTAAAGTTATATGGGTAATGAAAGCATGCAGTTCTTCGGATTTAAAGATTGTCAGTTTATTAAACACCCCCCGAAAACGCATGAGATCTATATATATTTGTTTACTATTAGTTGTAATAAGTGTTTTGTGTAATTCGCTGTATGTTGATGATAATGCAACTGAGAGAGAGAGTTTAATTTAGCTCTTATGGTGATTTTTTTTTGGAGTAAAAAAGGACGCAATAAACTTAATAAAACATCAGTAAAGTTTTGGTTATCATTCAGATGAGGTCCGCTACACTTATGAAAGTTACAAAAGTTATTTAGTCAAGAATAGTGTGCGATCTTTTGTTATTGATTAGCATTAAAGTGCAGACAGCAGCGCTACAATTATGCAACAGACATTATACAGCTCAGTGCCTTCACGCAGTTAATTAATAAACCATTGTTATTAATTTGTTATATCAGCCTTTTTCCTTATATAGCCGATATGCCGATGGTTGTAAATTGAGGAAAAATCGGCCGATAAATATCGGCAGCCGCCGATACATCGGTGCATTCCTACTTTTTACCTTTTAAATTTAGCAGGATATTTTACAGTGCAGTCAATTGCATAATATTTTCAATTAACACTTATTCCCAGTCTAAATCCCGATTTATCCAACATCTCTCACCTGACAGAGAGCGTAAAGTCTCCAGGGTTGCTTTTGCTGGGACGGGCCAAGAAACTGCCGTCCACACCACGAGTGAGGAGAAGGTTCTCCGCCTCCACTCCAGTGATGTTGGGGTGGAACCACCTACAGACATAAACACAACACAGTCAACACATGAAATACTGATTGTGGGCATTAAAGGGGTGATATGATGCGATTTCAAGTTTTCCTTTCTCTTTGGAGTGTTACAAGCTGATTGTGCATAGATAAGATCCCTGAAGTTGCAAAGACTAAAGTCTCAAAACCAAAGAGATATTCTTTATCAAAGTTAAGACTCTGCCACGCCCCCCTAAAACGGCTCGTTCTAACACGCCCACACATATCTACCTCACTATGTGGAAATATTAGCATAATGCCGCCCAAATGTTCACGCAAAGAAAGAAGGCGTGGTTTCAGTAACCGCAGTTAGTGTTGAAGCAGCATGTCAGGGAGACGCTGTGTGTTTCACTGGGTCAGCTGGCCAATCAGAGCAGAATAATGTGTTTTTTGAACATTAAAGCATGTCAACATATTCTGTTACACCAAATACACAAAATAATGATCTTTAAAAAAGCATCATATGACCCCTTTAACACTTTAGACAACAAGCAATACAGCAGTGGACATGAAAATATCTGCAGAAATTTCAGTAAATATAAAAAACCATCATATGAAAAAAAAAAAAGATAATTCAGAATCAAAAGGCAGAGATGCAGCTCAAAAATAAAATCATTTTAGCACATCAAATATGGAGAGATCGGTTTGTAATTTTGTTACTATTTTGTTGTTTGCTTTTAATAATATTTTGAATTTATTTAATTTTAATTACCGTTTTAGTAATTCTGTTGTGCTTTTGTCATTTTAGTCGTTTTTGGTTTTTAATAATATTTTGAATAAATTTTTATATTTTCTGTTTTTATTGTAATCTTAGTTACAATTTTAGTAATTTTGTTGCATTTTTATTTTTTTAAATGTCTTTATAGTTTAATCAATTCTTATTCCAGTTTTAGTTTTAGTTATTTTAATACATCAAGTGAAACTAAATTAAAATAAGAAATGTTGCCTGGGCAACTAGCTGAAATAAAGCATTTTGTGTTTTATTTTATTTCAGCTAACATTTATTTTAGTTCAACGAACCAAGTTTAGTTATAATGATCTATAATAACCCTAGACATTATTGAATCAAAACAGTGCAATATATGCCTTTGTGAATGTGTACAATATGTATATATACAGTGAAACCAAAATGATTGCAATATGCTACATAAATCATAACATTTTGTCAAATGCTTTGTAAAGTAAAGCTTGCTTTAACAGTGTGTTATTAAATGCTATGACATTAAGCCAGTTTTAAATGCGTCTTTCGTTTTGCTTATATGATGAATTATGCAGGCATCCATTAATCTTTTCTTTATCTATAATGCAGATTACATGAAAACAATATTAACACAAGCTGGCCGCAATAACTAACGTACAATAAGAAAAATAAGCTCAAATTCACACCACACTGCTGTCATGTCATTCTTCAACACTATCTGTGGTCAAATCTACAATATGGCCTGTCAATCATCAGCAGCTGCAGCAGCAGCAGATATGAAATATGATCATTAAACAGACTTTCAGTGTCCTAACATCAGTTCAGTGCTCATCAGACACTCTTTCACACTCAAACATGTCCAGTCTCGCCGTTGGGTTTAAATCATTAAACTGCCTGACATTTCAAATTAAACACGCTCGTTTCGCATCTTACACACTTAAAACAAACATTTGTTTGATTTATCCTGAAAATAGGATGCCCGAGAGTGATGAGATATGTACAATAAATGAGAAATGGACAGAATATCAGGTTTGTTTTGCTAGTTTCTCACCTTCGGGATGTCATCGCTCCCTCACTCTCTGTTTACTGTTATTTCACTCGCCTTCCGGGTAAAAACTCCGTTTAAATCGACAGTCCCGTGTTCAGCGCCTCATAAGGCAGCGGGTACCGCTCGGTTCGGGTTCGGAGAGACGGACATGAGCGAATAAAATAACGGGAAAGAGGGACCGGGAGCGCTAGGCCGCGGCGGCGGAGAGTTTTCTGGAGTCGATTGGAAAAGCGTCACCAAAGCTGCGACACACAGCGCGCGACGCGCCGCACTGACGCGCCCTCTAGAGGCGGACACAAGAACAGCAGTACAAAACAAACTTAAAGGGGTCATATGATGCGATTTCAAGTTTTCCTTTCTCTTTGGAGTGTTACAAGCTGTTCGTGAATAGATAAGATCCCTGAAGTTGCAAAGACTAAAGTCTCAAAACCAAAGAGATATTCTTTATCAAAGTTAAGACTCTGCCACGCCCCCCTAAATTTTTTGGTCATGAATCATTTATCATGATTTTAGGTTAAATACAATTTTATAGCAATAAAGTGAATTTTAAAATAAAGTACATTTTTAAAAACATTAAATATTAATATCAAAATATTAAAATTAAAACATGAATGTGTAAGAAGTGTAGGCTATTTTAGGCTGAAAATGCTGTAACTAAGCCTAACTAAGCATGTAACTAAGCATAAAAACCTAAAAGTACAAGTGCCTATCAATTAATGTGCGACCATAAAACGGTCTGCATAGTGAATATAACAGAATAAATATAAGAAATGTTGTTATTAAAAAAAGTTTTAAACTTTACTTTTACTTTTAGTCATTTAGCAGACGCTTTTATCCAAAGCGACTTACAAATAAGAAAAAATAATTAAAACTAAAAGCTAAAACTCTATAAATACTATATATATATACATATATACACACACACATTTAAGAAAATAAAAGAAATTAAATAAAAATGACAAATGCATACAACAACATTTCAAAACTAAACATTTAAATGAAAACAAAAAAATTAAGCTAAAAACAATTCAAAATATTAAAAGAGCAAAAGGTATGAGTATAATAATGATTCTAACATAACACTAAGCCAAACACCAAAAAACAACTACATGTGTATGTACAGTCACACACATATACATATACATATACATATACGTATATATAAATACATTCAATATATATATATTATTTCATTTCCATTTTGTATGTTGAAGTACTGAAATAACTCAAATTAAATCAAACTCAAACTTAATAAGAAACCTATATAGACATAATGAAAAACTAATAAAATGACAACATTACTACAACTGTAACTAAAATAGATAACTAATACAAATCAAACTACATTAGTTTATCAGTAATCCTAAAAAACATATCAACTAAAAGCATATCACTGCCCCTGACATTTTTTATTGCAACATTTTGAACACGCAACCATAAAAACAACAATCATTGCAAATCAAATACTGAGATAAACATACTGCAATAATATTAACAGAAGAGAACAAAAAGAAAGAAAATATACAAATAGGGTATATGAATCAATTAAAGGGTCGATTTAAGGCTTTGCAATATTTTACAGTCTTTTTGTTTTGCTATGTCTTGTAAAATAATGAATATGTAGTGACATTTCAATTTTTTTTTACCTTTGTGGATAAACAATTCTCTCTATATAATACATAGGCTACATTTGTAATAGTATTAAATTAATATATTACATTCGATTCAAATTAATAAATACATTTTAACCACCATTATCAAAGAAAAATAAACTTTTCCTCTGAGTTGTATTTTGTTTGTGTTCTAATTTTAACAAAAAATAAAAATAAAAAAGCCAAATCGCACCGAAATAATTCTGTATAAATGTAATAAAATAAATAGTTTCTGTTTTTTGCAAACGCGAACTACGTCCGTCGTTGTCGCCTTTTTGTCCCTTCAGGCGACTCGTCTAAATCTTGACGTGGCATCCTCAGTAGCGCAGCTAGCGCTTGGCAGTCTCCGCCTTTATCGGTCCAGTGCGGCGTAAAGTCTCTTTTATGGGGTTTATCATCCATTAATACAGCGCACCAAACATGTTTACGCTCTCGGAACTCGTCGTGCTCCTCGGCGCGCTGTCTTACACGGCGAGCGGCTATTTTGTGAGCATCGATGCTCACGCGGAGGAGTGTTTCTATGAGCGCGTGAACTCGGGCACCAAAATGGGCCTGATGTTTGAGGTCGCCGAGGGAGGATTTCTGGACATCGACGTGGAGGTGAGCATCAAAATACACTTACTGTATTAATAATAAACGATAGCCCATAAGCAGGCGCTGTAGGAAGTTTGCAGGTGTCGCCGTCTGCTCGCACCGGATGCTGGTTGAAGCCGGAAGTGAATTGCTGGCTGTTAGTGATTATTAATGCTTGCACACTAGATTATGTACAGTCTTAACGTACGGCATTGTGTGTATTGATAACCTTTGGGAGGGTCGAGGTGAAAGTAAAACTACTCTGGTTTAGTTTGGTCTTACTTTGCTTCCACCTGATGGTTGTTAAGCACAAATACTGTGGCATTACCATGAGATCCCATAGATTTGTAACCTAAAAGTTTGCTTAGTACTTTAGATATTCTTAAAGAGCCATGCATACAGTACAGTGGTGGCCAAAATGATTAGAACACTAGTATTTCCAGCAGCTAGAAATGCTTTTAAGTCAGTTATTTCTATCTTTTGCTGTAGTGTGTCGGTAGGAAATATCAGTTTACATTTCCAAACATTCATTTAGCCATTAATTGTAATAATGCAGTGAGATTTTTGTCTGACGACAGCCAGTGCTGCACACAGAGATCTGATCTGATCTGTCTGGAGTGACGAGAACGAACTGAGACAGACTCAATCCAGAAGAACTGTGCCAAAGATAGAAATAACTGACTTAAAACCATTTCTAGCTGCTGGAAATACTAGTGTTTAGGCCACCACTGTATATGCACACACACTTGGATATTATTACCAATTAAAGGGGTCATATGATGCTATTTTAAAGCTCATTATTTTGTGTATTTGGTGTAACAGAATATGTTGACATGCTTTAATGTTCAAAAAACACATTATTTTTCAAATACTGTACATTATTGTAGGTCCTCTATGCCCCGCCTCTCTCAAACGCTTCGTTTTCTACAAAGTCCCTCCTTTGACAAGCTCAGTCTGCTCTGATTGGCCAGCTGACCCAGTGCATTGTGATTGGCCGAACACCACAAGCACGCATCGACAAAACATACTTAGTCGCTGATTCAGAAGTGCCAGATTGTCATAGCAAAGGCCATTAAAAACACGCCTTCTTTCTTTGCGTGCACATTTAGGCAGCATTATGCTAATATTTCCACATAGTGATGTAGACATGTGGGGGCGTGTTAGAACGAGCCGTTTTAGGTAGGCGTGGCTGACTCTTAACTTTTATAAAGAATATCTCTTTGGATTTGAGACTTTAGGCTTTGCAACTTTACAGATCTTCTTTATGCACCAAGAGCTTGTAACACTCCAAAGAGAAAGGAAAACTTGAAATCGCATCATAGGACCCCTTTAATAGTGGTTATTTGTGGGTTTTTGTGAAGTTGTGAGCACCTGTCAGTAACTCATGTATTGTTTGTCCTGAACAGATAACGGGTCCAGATGGGAAGCAGATCTATAAAGGAGACCGTGAGTCCAGCGGCAAGTATTCTGTAGCCGCCCATATGGACGGAATCTACAAGTTCTGCTTCAGCAACAAGATGTCCACCATGACCCCTAAGATTGTGATGTTCACCATTGACATCGGCGAGGCACCCAAAGGACAGAATATGGAGACAGAGGGTGAGCGCATGAACTGGTGCAGGGGTTTCTGGGAAGGTTGTTTCTCGTAGTGTCTTCTCTTTTGCTCCATATGGCAGAGTTCTCACGGTCACGGAAAACCTGGGAGCTTTCAGGCAACTGGAAAAGTCATGGAAAATTAAATATTTGTGGAGCTTTCTATAATGAATGTCAGGTTTTCTGCCCAGGTTTCTAAAATATTTCAGTTGCCTTGAAATTAATTTCTATAGGCCTAAATCAGGGTTATTATAGTTGAATAAAACACAAAAAAATTGAAATAAAATAAGTAACTGAATCTCAAATATCAAAACCTTTTTATTTTACCTATTTATTTCTATTTTTATTTAGTGTAATATGACAAACTAAAATTAAAAACAAATTATATAGATATTTTATAAAAACGAATTAAAAATAATTAAACTAACAAAATTACTAAAAGTTTAAAATGGAAAATATAAAAATAACAACTAATTCAAAATAAATGAAAATTATAAAAGTAATTAAATTGGTGGTGTTGCATTTGCATGCTGAATATGCAGAAATATTTGCGTTGATATAATCGAGTAAATTGTTATTTCCAGCTCATCAGTTACTAAAACTGACATGAAAATGAACAAAAACTATATAGACATATTTTTAAAAATTACTTTACCGAAAATGTTTTTTTATATATTTAAGTATTAATTTTAATTAGTGCTGTCAAATGATTAGGGCTGTAGCTATCAATTATTTTAGTAATCGAGTATTCTACAGATTATTCCATCGAGTAATCAGATAAGAATTTTTCTTTAAGAGCAATACTAAATATACAAGAGAGAATAAGATAGATCTCTTAAAATAAACAACTCATTTGTTTTCTTTTTAGAAAAATTAACATTTTTATTGCTGAAATTGCATACATTAATAACCGTGAAAACTAAACTCATTTAATGCATTTAATTGCAGAATTACATTCAAAATGCAAATATATCAATAAAATAAATAAAATATAAATATAAATAAATAAAATGAATAAAAAAATCTATTTCACATTACTTAAAAAAAGAAAAGAAAAAAAAAAGGTAAACAGTACAAACTAAAACTAAGGCATACATCAAAATAATAGTAATAATAATAATACCTAAACATTGCATTTATGTAGTGCAACTTAACTTTCAAGTTTCAGCCTAACTAAAGCTCAGGCATAACATAAGCCTTTACTGTCTTCTTGGAAGGCTTTGTGGCTTTTGTGAGAGGCAAAAATCAGTGGACGGGAAGGTAACTTGGAACAAGAACAAGAATCCATACACAATTTTTAAACACATTTTTCTGCAATATGAAATAAACCCTCTTAAATGTCCCTGTATGTGTGTGTAGGGCTGTCTCGGTGAGGGAATTTCCCTTGCGATACTTTTGATATTTTCATATCGGTGCATCCCTAATGTATATGTATGTATATATATGTATGTATATGTATGTGTATATATATATATATATGTATGTATATGTGTGTGTATATATATATATATATATATATAATTTTTGTATGTATAACTAACAAGGTCATATTCAGAAGACGATGATACCGAAACCAAATAGCGTTGAAACAGGAAGGGAAGTAAACAGAAGAGAATGACAAAATAACGGTCCACAGAACATGAACCTGACAATAAGATCGTTAGGCTATTGTTAGCCTATATGTATAAAGTTAGCCTAGTTGTAATCTGAAAATTCCACCTGCGTGTGTTCTATACGGGCTGTCAGTCAGTGCAGTTACAGTGTTGCGCCACAAGGTGGTGGAAAGGGACTGGTGCTTAGTCTTTCACAAAACATAGCAAACGTAGGGACATCATAACTAGCCACCATATTGATTTATTTAAATATGTCCAGTGCTTTTTTTACAGTCTGTGGTCCAGCGTTTATCAGGTTGTGCGTCAATAATAATGGTCCGCGGGGAAACGCTGTGATCCGTGTGTAGTTACAGTAAATGGACTAAACGAAGCCTGATTTTTTGTATTCGAGTTACTCGAGGTATTCGAGGAATCGTTTCAGCCCTGCAAACGATTAATCACAAAGTTGTTGTTTACATTATATATAGGGATGTAATGATTCACTCAGCTCACGATTTGATTGATTTTTTTACTAAATGAGATTTAAGAGAAATTATAAATGAAATGTGTCCTATTATTGCTTGGACAAAATGCTCCACGTTTCTTTGTGAAACTGAAATATAACACTATAATAATATACTAATATAGCACTTGCATATTATTGCTCTTTTGTTGGTTTTGATTGCTTTTATTGTCCTCATTTGAAAGTCGCTTTGGATAAAAGTGTCTGCTAAATAACAACATTTAAATATAGGCTAATGTAAATGTAAATAAAACTAAATTGACATTTTAAAACAAGCCCCAAATAAATAATTAACACAAATAAAAGAAATCTCTTCATATAAACAAACTAAGGCTTTGTCTGTGCTCTTTCCATTTAAAATTAGAGGCAACCACTGCATTTTAATCATGATCCAAACAAAGATGCTGCATACATGCAACTTGAGCAGTTTTTAATCTAAATTACATTGTGTAATTTAGAAATGGGATGCAAAAACAGAATGGTTTTGTGAAACTATGCATAAAATATCTGCATGAAACAGAAACAGCAGACGAGCTGAACGAGACGCAGATGCACTCTCTGCCAGCAGGTGGCGCTTAAAGCGTTTCCTTGGTTTTGGCTGTAAACAAAGCAGCGCTGCACTTATGAACTTTAATATGCTTTAGACAGAGGCAAGATGAAAAAATACCACCTACACTTTTCTAAAGACAGTAAGTTCCCCTCAGGCATACATTCATATACAGTGGGGCAAAAAAGTATTTAGTCAGCCACCAATTGTTATTTTGAAAATATTTACATTTTTATACATTTATATATTCATATTCTTATATTTTATACTATATTATATATAAACATAACATATTTTTCTTAAATATATGCATGTGTTTGTATTTATATATACATAATAAATATACACAGTATACACTAGGGCTGGGTATCGATTCAGATGTCCCGATTCGATTTCGATTCGCAAGCTCTCGATTCGATTCGATTCTCGATTTTTTGTGAATATAGTTTTAATACAAATACTATTGATATTTCTAAAAAATGAACAGTAAACATCAGTTTACAAATGGTAAATTAATAAAAAGAAATTAAGAACCACATGCCTGATTTTTAAACTATTCTTTTTTTTGTATAGGGTCCTTTTTTAAACAATAATAGGGCCCTATAAAAAGTTCTTAATTTTTCTGATAATCAGATGAAGGCATAAAACGTGAATTTAATTTATCCTAATCAAGTGAAAATTAAACCCTTTTATTTTTTGGCAAACAAATGCTGCACAAAGCAGGTTTACTGTTAAAATTAAAAAGAAAACAGATGTGATTATTCCTTTAAAAAATAAAGATTTATTAATATTTATTAGCAGTAGTAGCATTGAGTCTTAAGACTGCTAAAGAGTAATATATTCTGACAGTAGAACGTTACACTAAACTTTTATTTTGACGGGTTGCCGTGAAGAACTTGCAGCTGCTGTGTATGTGATATGACGGTAGATTTCTCAAGCGAAACGGTAAATGCTAATGAAGTGACTCTCAGAGCAGCTGGAGATGACATTCGTGTTCATATCATCATATAATGAAATGGCAGAAGCTGAAAACACCGTGAGCATCATCCACGCTTTAGTGTGTGTGTAGTAAACAAAACAGTGTGCCGCGCCATCCGCCATTCATTCATTACTGAAATCATGGTGCCTTATGCGTGATATCTTCTGCAGATTTATAGTATTACTATAGCATTTCACCGGAGCATTGAGAATTGCGCGTATGGCCATGATATGTGCTGAATGAATGACAGGATTTCTGTTGTAACATCACGCAAGGTAAAAAAGGGTGACATCTACTGGAGAAGACTAATGATAAGATTCACGTTAATCAGATCTTGTTTTAAATGTGTGCTGAAATAAATCCCGGAAAAGATCGATTCACGGCTTTTGAGAATCGATATCAAATCGACGTCATTTAAAAAATAAAAAAATAAAAACGATTAATCGGAAAATCTTTCTTTTTTTTCCTTTTTTTTGCCCAGCCCTAGTATACATGCATATATTATGTAAATAAAAACTTATTTTGGATGCGATTAATCGTGATTAATAGTCTGACAGCACTAATTTTTTATATATATATATATAACTTATACAGTGCTGAAATTATGATTTAACATGGGTTTTTCTTTTTGCCTCTAACGTGGCTTTCTTCCCTATTCAGGAGGTGGTGACAGCTGGGATGGTAGGAATAGACTGTTCAGTAGATCATTTTAACATCTGTTGAGTTTTAAACTGAAATCTAACAGCATCCGCACTTCTATTTGCACCTGTGTGTATAAAGACAGCGTGACCAATGAGCTGAACCTTTCACTCACCGATGAGCTCATAAAACTGCTGTTGAACCCTAAAGAGAGAGATATAACATTAATGGTTGTGTTTTATCATAGAAGAGGTTTATTTGAAGTTCTCATGGCCTGTTTTGCTTTTTTTAACTGTAGGCCATTCTGATACTTATCTTTTATGCTCTATACATAAGGGTTTTTATTAATGTAACAGCCGTTTATGACCTGTAACCTCTTGCATGTGTACATGAGGCGTTCACTGTTGGTACCAAATTTTATACTGTTTTGTAAAAATTGGAGGTGTTGTATTTGCATGCTGCATGCACGTTGATACAGTCGTCACGAGTAACTTGCTATTAATTTATTTCCAGCTCATCAGAATAAGCTGGAGGAGATGATCAATGAGCTGGCGGTTGCCATGACGGCGGTCAAACATGAGCAGGAATACATGGAGGTCCGAGAGAGAATACACCGCGCAAGTAAGACATCCGCACTGATCACGTGACCACAGTTGTTGTTGTTTTTAAGCAATCATTATTTTGCATGGTTTTGAACCCAGGAAAAATATGCATGTTTAAATGCCCTTTCAATTATTATTATTATTTTAATTTTGATGCTACATGAACCCAGCTATAATATTGTGCATGTTTAAATGGCCTTTTAATATTATTTTATTTTGGCAGTACATGAATCCAGCTATAATATGCATGTTTAAATGACCTGCAAATTATTTAATGTTTTCATTTTGACATGAACTGAATAATTGGCATGAATAATTATTATTTCTTCTTTCGTCTTTTTATAAATATTCCTTTTTTTATTTTGACTTGACGCGAACCCAGCAAAAATATAATTGTTAAAATGGCCATTTATTTGTGTATTTATTTATTGGACAAATATTAGTGTTTAAATGGACATTGGAATTATTTCTTCGTTTTTATTTTGGCATGACGAGCAGCTGAAATGCATATTTAAATTGACTTTGAATTATTACTGTTTTATTTATTGATTGATTGATCTATTTTTAACTTGTGTCTATTAAACTTGCTGTCTAATTATGTCTGTGTCCTCTAGTCAATGACAACACGAACAGCAGGGTGGTGCTGTGGTCCTTCTTTGAGGCTCTGGTGCTGGTGGCCATGACCCTCGGACAGATTTACTACCTGAAGAGATTCTTCGAAGTGCGGAGAGTCGTATAAAATCCTGTCTGTGTTCCACAACATAAACACACTGAGTTCAAGATTGACCTGTTTTATGAATTGGATGTCCAATTCAACAGAGATGGGAAGAACTTGGTTGTTCGCTAGTCCACCCAGTCTGTGATTTGGTTTTTATTTGCCCCAGTTGTAGTTCTCTTCATCGTTTGATTTGGTAAAGGGTGCGATTTTGAATCAGTTCATTGAGTTTGTTTTAGCCTGACTTGATTTTGAACAGTCATCTTTAATATATATATATATATATGTATATATATATATATATATATATATATAATTTGTTTTTTCTTTTTTTTTTTTGCTTGGTGTTTCTTCTCCAGAACTGTTACGATTGCGCATTACTCTGAGAATGAAGTAACGGTGATGATGTGGTGTTGTCCCAATACAAGAACATGATTTAGGATTGTATGGAAATAGCATGCTGTAATTAAACCATAACATGAACAATGTTTTGAGCGAATGGGAAGTCAGCGGTCGCTGATATAAGTGTCAGGAAATGTCACATTTCATGTCATTTTCACTGCTCATTATCACATTTAGTTATGCCAACAACGACCTCCATGGCACATATTTAAACCTGATGCTGGCGAAGCGGCAAAATGACTGCTTTGCAGATTTTCTGGTGTGTTTTTAAATGTTTAGGCAGGGTAGGCCCAATTTCTTTTCTATCTCTATCTCCAGTCTCTTCACGCAGGAAGTACTTTATGTAGTTTTGTACCACTTTTGTTGTCTAAACCAACTCTTACATTAAAGAAAATGCAAAATAGTTTGGCTAAGACTACTGGTGAACTGATGATAAAACTGTAAACCTCAGAAGTTCAACGACAGGGTGGTGCTGTGGTCCTTCTTTGAGGCTCTGGTGCTGGTGGCCATGACCCTCGGACAGATTTACTACCTGAAGAGATTCTTTGAAGTGCGGAGAGTCGTATAAAATCCTGTCTGTGTTCCACAACATAAACACACTGAGTTCAAGATTGACCTGTTTTATGAATTGGATGTCCAATTCAACAGAGATGGGAAGAACTTGGCTGTTCGCTAGTCCACCCAGTCTGTGATTTGGTTTTTATTTGCCCCAGTTGTAGTTCTCTTCATCGTTTGATTTGGTAAAGGGTGTGATTTTGAATCAGTTCATTGAGTTTGTTTTAGCCTGACTTGATATATATATGTATATATATATATATATATATATATATAATTGTTTTTTCTTTTTTTTTTTTGCTTGGTGTTTCTTCTCCAGAACTGTTACGATTGCGCATTACTCTGAGAATGAAGTAACGGTGATGATGTGGTGTTGTCCCAATACAAGAACATGATTTAGGATTGTATGGAAATAGCATGCTGTAATTAAACCATAACATGAACAATGTTTTGAGCGAATGGGAAGTCAGCGGTCGCTGATATAAGTGTCAGGAAATGTCACATTTCATGTCATTTTCACTGCTCATTATCACATTTAGTTATGCCAACAACGACCTCCATGGCACATATTTAAACCTGATGCTGGCGAAGCGGCAAAATGACTGCTTTGCAGATTTTCTGGTGTGTTTTTAAATGTTTAGGCAGGGTAGGCCCAATTTCTTTTCTATCTCTATCTCCAGTCTCTTCACGCAGGAAGTACTTTATGTAGTTTTGTACCACTTTTGTTGTCTAAACCAACTCTTACATTAAAGAAAATGCAAAATAGTTTGGCTAAGACTACTGGTGAACTGATGATAAAACTGTAAACCTCAGAAGTTCAACGAATATGTATGTCAAATATGGATTTCATTTAATAAACATGAAACATGTTCTTAAAATGTCTCCTTTGTATTGTTTGTGTAGGTTTGGATGCACAACATGGAAACTCGCAGCAAAATTTGCCATGCAACTGCCATGTATTTGATATTTGCTCTTTATTTACATAATTCTTTCATGTATGAATTGGCGAGGCCTCTGCGTAAATTTGAGGTTGTCACGTGGTAGCTGTTACTTTTCTCAGCGCTGATGAGGATGGTTCAATCGTAGTGTGCGGCGGTTTTCCGTTTGTAGATAATTTATTTAAACGACTAGGCTTCATATTACATAAAGGTGCCAGACAAGACAAATATTCTGAGTTTTGAATGCCATGCAATGGATTTAGCTCTCACTAAATGCCCCCTCGGAGGAAGACAATGCGGAACGTTTGTATCAGTCGCTTGTTTCACATTCGGAGCGTATTGCGTGTAGCACACATCTTCTCCTCATGTTTACTTTTATGGGTCAGACTCATCTAAATTCATAAACTATGGAAAACATTACCGATGGAAAATGGGAGCGTTTGCCCGTGAAATTACATGACAGTATATTACAGACACTTAGGGAGCTGAAATTTGCATATATGACTCCTGTTCAGGTATTAATATTCAGACTTAAACTGTACTCGCGTGTTTCTGGTCGTATTGTATTAACTCATTTTTTCCATCAATTTCAGTTTGCCTGCATCCCTCTTTTTATGAGTAATAAAGATGTGGCTGCTGAAGCCGTGAGTATTTGAATACGTGTTTATTTTTTATCATAATGTGCTGTCTGAGAATATTTCATATTTGTTTCAATTTTTTTGAAAGAAGAGCCTTATGCTCCTCAAACCTGCATTTATTTGATCGTGAAAACTGTGAAATGTTATTACAATTTAAAATAACTTTTCTGTTTGAGTACATTTTGAATTATAGTTTATTCCTGTGATCAACATTGTTCCAGTCTTCAGTGTCACGTGATCCTTCAGAAATCATTGATTCTAATATGCTTATGATTTGCAGCTCAAGAAACATTTATGATTATTATCAATGTTGCAAACAGTTTTTGCTGCTTCATATTTGTCAAAACCGTAAGTTTGGGGTCAATATGGTTCAAATAAAGAAACTAATACTTTTATTCAGTAAGGATTAGGGGTCGACCGATATGTGTTTTTCAAGGCCGATACCGATTTTTACAGATAAAGTAGACCGATAACCGATATATATGTCTGGTGCAAAAATTATTTATTTACATACACAGAGACATGCAGAACATGCTGGATTCATATTTAAATAGTATTTTTGCGGCTTAATATTTACAGATACTAGTCCATATTGCGACTCTATTTAAGTGTACTGACCTACTTTTGATTAATTCATCCAAACTTTGACAAATTCCGTGACATTACGCATCATACAGTAAATTCCATTTATATGACTGGATTCCGCAATTCTGGAAATCATAGATAATATTGAGGTGTTTTGCAACTTCAGTGTAACGTTAGTGGATTGTGATTTATTGCAACTTAAGCAACGTCTGCTGCTGCCTTACCTTTGAGAGACAACTGATGCGTGATCACTGAAGCAGCTGCAGTTAGCAAGCGCTTTCAGAGTGAGAGTGAATTCCGCTTTGATTGGTCGGACTTCTGACTCCCAACAAATCAGATGAGCGGTGGACGGAGACTGCTTTAGGCCACAGAGTGGTGAGTTCTGACAGGCTGCATCAGAGCCAAATAGCGTGTTTCAAAATGAAGTTATTTTATCGGTGAATCGGTTTTGAAAATGACCGATACCGATAATCATAAAAATGCTTAATATCGGTGCCGATAATCGGTCGACCCCTAGTAAGGATGCATTAAATTTATTAAAAATGACAGTAAAGACATGTATATTGTTACAAAAAATAGATTTCAAATAAATGCTGTTGATTAAATATGTTATTTATCAAAGAAAAAAAGCATCACGGCATACACAGAAATACTAAGCTGCAGTACTTTTTAATGTTGCTAATAAAAAGAACCATTATTAATAATTGAGCACCAAATTAGGATATTAGAATGATTCCTGAATGATCATGTGACACTGAAGACTGGAGTAATGAGATGCTAAATATGCTTAAAATATATTCAAATTGATTTTTTTTTTTTTTTTAATATTACTGTATTTTTTTTATTAAATTAATGCAGATTTGGTGAGCATAAAGCTGCATTAAAGAAAGTCATTCACTTATTAAGACTTACTTCAAAAACATTAAAAAAAAAACTTTTGTAATAATAATATTAATATTAATAATATTTAATGTGATTCCAGGTGACTGGCAGCGGGAAAACCTTGGCATTTGTGATTCCTGCGTTAGAAATTCTCCTAAAGCGAGAAGAGAAGTTAAAAAAGATGCAGGTCTGTATTAGATGATGAATTTGACATTTCAGTAACGCTGTCTTCTTCTTCATCAGATGCTTGCGTTGCATCGGTGTAATTCATTTTGATTTCTATTGTGATGTATTGTCAGGTGGGTGCATTGATCATAACACCCACCCGAGAGCTGGCACTGCAGATCAGCGAGGTGATGGGACGATTTCTGCAGGGGTTTCCTCAGTTTAGGTGAGAATAAAACATCTACTCCATCTGATGGCCTTAAGCTTGTAAATCTAACAATGTGTGTCTGTTTTTAGACAGATTCTTTTGATTGGTGGAAGCAACCCTATTGAGGATGTAGAGAAGTTTAAGACTCAGGGGTGAGTGTATGGACTGCTCTTTTCTCAAACTAAATCTGGAATAAAATAAGCAAATGCAATGTTATGTGCGGTTCGTAGAGCCAATATCCTAATTGCGACCCCTGGGCGATTGGAGGACATGTTCAGGAGGAAGGCCGATGGGCTTGATTTGGCCACGGCTGTGAAGTCTCTGGATGTTCTTGTCCTGGATGAGGCAGACAGATTACTGGACATGGGCTTTGAAGCCAGGTAATGATCTCAAATCGTCAGTCTGTAAAAAACTGCCAGAAAACAACTAAAAATAATAGGCAATAACTTACATAAGCATTTAATTTTACATTGCTTGGCAGTTTAACCACACTTTCTCTGGAGTCTGTATAATTTTTGTTATAATATGCATTGAGTGTTTTAATAAGATGCTGTATAATTAGCATATTCACACACAAAATAATTTTCTCTCTCTCTGTATATTATAGGCATCTAGTGGTTATACCATGGTATTACAAGATTATTCAAGTACTGTATAGATGGCACTAATCTGCCTCCATTCACTGGATTTCAAATACATTTGCTCTGTTTTTAATTTGAATGCTGCATTAACTGAAAAATATTATAAAAAGTGTTTTTAATATTTTTTAAATTAATATATATATATATATGTTTTGTATCATGAAATCCCCTCAAAGTGTAAAATATTACAAAAAAATATTATTGACCTAAAATATAGCACATTAAAAGGAAGTTCACCCGAAAATGATCATTTGCAAAAAATGTACTCACTCTTAGGCCATCCAAGATGCAGATGAGTTTGTTTCTTCATTTGAACAGATTTGGGGAAATGTAGCATTGCATCACTTGGTCAGCAATGGATGCTCTGCAGTGAATGGGTGCCGTCAGAATGAGAGTCCAAACAGCTGATAAAAACATCACAATAATCCACAAGTAATCCACAGCACTCCAGTCCATCAGTTAACATCATGTGACGTGAAAGCTGTGGGTTTGTAAGAAACAAATCCATCATTAAGGCGTTTTTAACTTTGCTTCCTGCTGAAATATCCAGTCTATAGTTCTCCAGTAAAAAAGTCCATCCTCTGTTCTCCTCGCACATCAGATCTCACCCACACATTTGTTTAGAGCTGGTTTGGCTTGTAAACAGTGCTTGGTCTGTGCAGATTTCTCTGCTGATTCAGACCAGATGACATTTTCAATGTAAAATATTATGCGATATTATGGATGGAAGACTCTATTTCATTTTAGCTAGAGTAATAATGTTAAGTTAAAATGTCTTGATGGATTTGTTTCTTAGAAACATGCAGCTTTGCACTTCACAAGACGTTAACTGATGGACTGGAGTGGTGTGGATTATTGTGATGTTTTTATCAGCTGTTTGGACTCTCATTCTGACGGCACCCATTCACTACAGAGGACCACCAGGATCACAAGTGTGACCCCAAAGTTGAGATTATGCAGCTAATGCAGCTTTTTTCTTCGCCTCTGCAGTTTAAACACTATTCTGGGGTATTTACCCAAGCAGCGGCGCACGGGGCTTTTCTCTGCCACACAGACACAAGAGCTGGAGAAGTTGGTGAGGGCTGGTCTGCGCAACCCTGTGCGAATCACAGTGAAGGAGAAAGGTGTGGCGGCCTCAAGCATGCAGAAAACACCAGCCAGACTCAGCAATTATTACGCAGTGAGTCATCTAGAGCTGTCTGTAACCAGCAGGGACTCATTCACTAATGCACATGCATGCATTTTCATGGGGCGTTTCAGAAATTGTAACTACTCTGTTAATTATGTATTAAGTATTGACTGCGTTTATACCTTTAATTCACATTCCTTTCTCATTATGAACAAGTTGGGTTGGCCATACTTGTCTGAACTAATTCCCAATTATTTATCTTAACATTTGCTTATGTGCAGATATGTCGAGCAGAGGAGAAGTTCAACACTTTAGTGGCATTTCTCAGGCAGCACAAACATGAGAAGCAGCTTGTGTTCTTCAGGTTTGTTAGACTGATTTTGCCACATACGTTACAAGTCGTCTCTTCTGTGCACCAAAGCTGCATTTATTTGATCAAAATACAGTAAAAACAGTAATGTTGTGAAATATTATTACAATTTAAAATAGCTGTTTTATATTTAAAAATATATAGTAAAATGTAATTTATTCCTGTGATCAAAGCTGAATTTTCAGCATCATAATTACTCCAGTCTTCAGTGTCACATGATCTTCAGAAATCATTCTAATATGCTGATTTGCTGCTCAAGAAACATTTTTATTATTATCAGTGTTGAAAACCGTTATTACTGCTTAATATTTGAGTGATGCAACCATGATACATTGATACTTTGAAGATACTTTGCTGACTAGAAAGTTTTACTTTTTTTTGGAAAAATTAATATTTTGTAACATTATAAATGTTTTTAATGTCAATTTAATGCATCCTTGCTGAATAAAAGTATCTTCTTCTTTTTTTTTTCCTTCAAAGAGTGACGTACCCCATACTTTGATCTTTTTAACTTCCACAAAAAGCTTTTTTAAAATTGATAATAATGAGAACTGTTTCTTGAGCAGCAAATCAGCATATTAGAATGATTTCTGAAGGATCATGTGACACTGAAGACTGGAGGAATGATGCTGAAAATTCAGCTTTGATCACAGGAATAAATTACATTTTAACATGTATTCAAATAGAAAACAGCTATTTGGAACTGTAATAATATTTCACAATATTGCTGTATCAGATACTCATAATTATGTATTTACTCTATCAGCCTTAGTGAGCAGAAGAGACATCTTACAAAAACATAATTATTCCAAATTGATGTTATGTAATTAATATTGTTCAGCCATCTTAACATCATCATATTCTCTGTATATCCGCAGCACCTGTGCCTGTGTGGAGTACTTCGGTAAAGCCCTGGAAGGCTTGATCAAGAATGTCAGCATCCACTGCATCCACGGGAAGATGAAGCATAAACGAAACAAGATCTTTGCAGATTTCCGGGCGCTGAAGAGGTAATGTAGTGTGATGCCTTTCTAGCTGTTTACAGAGAGGAAGTTAAAGACCCAGAATAAATGCGTTATGGATGTGTGCAGTGGGATTCTCGTGTGCACAGACGTCATGGCCAGAGGCATCGACATCCCAGAAGTGAACTGGGTGCTTCAGTACGACCCACCAAGCAGTGCAAGGTAACCAAGACATTCATGAACACGCTTGAGCTCAGAAGTATGTACTACATTCACAAAAGCTTGGAATAGTTTATTACATGATTTATTTTATGCTTTGATCAGTGCTTGTAGAGTCATGCAGTTAGTGGTTTGTCATGCACCACTATATTGCTCATACCTAATGAATTGAACAAACCCCTAACATTAAATATTAAACTTCAGCATATTTATTTATTTATTGGTTTGTTTAGATAGAGACAGTACACAAAACATGATTCCAGCCAAAAAAAAAAAGCTGATAAAATATGCATTGTACATACAGAGTATAGTATATGCTAATTCATAGGAACCTAAAAATGCTTTTCTTAACAAAAAAACAAAAACACTCCACCAACCCTACATTACTAATATAATATATATACATAATTACACATACTTAAAAAAAAAAAAATATATATATATATATATATATATTAATGTCGCTCTCAACCCTGGCAACATATAGATAGAGGAAATAAAACAATTAATTAAAATAAATTAGATATGCATATAGCTCTAGTTTATTTTAAACCTGCACTTAAACATAGTTACAAAATCCCTAATGTCATGTACTGCTTTCATTAAATTTAAATTTAATTTATAAAATTAAGTATCAACACTTTGTTTTAATCAATGTATTTCAAAGCATTGTTGTTATTGTTAACTAAAGCTATTAAAAAATAATGTTCAGTAATCTAAATAAAGCTCAAATAAACAAAAATAGGAATATTCGTTAAAAAAATTGACACTGAAATAAAAAGTAAATTCAAGTTATATAGAAATACTAAAGAAACAAAAAACTAAAATGACAAGCACATAACAAAATTACTAAAGTTACAATGGAAATATAAAAATAAAAGCTAATTAAAATATTAATAAATACTATAATTGTATAAAAAAGAACTCTGAAATTAAACTGTTTAAAGGTGACATACTATTTGCATGCTTTGTGCATATATTGCAAATTTTTCTCATCTAATTTAATACTCCTTCCATTAGTTCCTTTGTGCATCGGTGTGGACGAACTGCACGAATCGGAAACCAGGGCAACGCACTCGTCTTTCTTCTGCCAATGGAAGAGTCGTATGTAAATTTCTTGTCCATTAATCAAAAGGTAAGTCAGAGCGAAACTTCATTTCATACACAAACTATCAGATGGAGTGTCTAGGGTTCGAAATTAGGCTTTTAAAAAAAAAATCACATTCATGCATTAGACATGCATTTAAAGTGACATGCATTTAAGTGCCTAATATTAATGCATTCTCAATATTTTGTATTCTATATGTTCGCGTTTAAGGTGGTAAAGTAGTTGTGTTTTCCCACAGTGTCCTCTTCAGACGTATCCTCCAGTGAAAGACGTGGTTGATGTTCTGCCTAAACTGAAGGCGATGGCTTTAGGTGACAGAGCCATGTTTGAGAAGGGCATGAAAGCCTTTGTGTCGTGTGTGCAGGCGTACGCCAAACACGAGTGTAGTCTGATATTTCGCATTAAAGGTGAGTGACATTGCTTTAAACCTTTCATAAGATACTTAACCAAGATAATTCACCTGACACATACCTTGTCCAGACCTGGATTTTGCTGCTCTGGCCCGTGGCTTTGCTCTCCTCCGTTTGCCTAAAATGCCTGAACTGAGAGGAAAGACCTTCCCGGACTTCAAACAAGAGGCCATTGACACAGACACCATCCGCTTTAAAGATAAAAACAGGGAAAAACTGAGACAAAAAAGGCTGGCGGAGCTGAAAGAAAAAGAGACGCCGTTAAAGAGGAACTTCATCAAGAACAAAGCCTGGTCGAAGCAGAAGAACAAGAAGGATAAAAAGAAAAAGAAGGCTGCCAAAAGAAAACTGGATGAGGTATGTTACTCATTTGCTTGCGTTAAAGAAATGGTTCACCCCAAAAAATTTCATTTGCTGAAAATGTTCTCACTCTCAGGCCATCCAAGATGATGATGAGTTTGTTTCTTCTCCAGATTTGGAGAAATGTAGCATTGAATCACTTGGATGCTCTGCAGTGAATGGGTGCCGTCAGAATGAGAGCTGATAAAAACATCACAATAATCCACACCCCTCCAGTCCATCAGTTAATGTCTTGTGAAGTGAAAAGCTGCGTGTTTGTAAGAAACAAATCCATCATTAAGTCATCTTTAACTTTAAACTCTCACTTCTGGCCAAAATATGAGTCCATAATAACGCTTCCTCCATCTCCTGTTGTCCTCTCACATCAAAATCCCCCCACATATTTGTTTAGAACTGCTTTGGCTTGTTAACAGTTCTTGATCTGTGCAGATTTCTCTCCTGATTCAGGCTAGATGACTTTTTTACTGTTAAAAGCAATATTATGGATAGAGGTCTTTTGGCCAGAAACAATAGTTTGAAGTTAAAAATGACTTAATGGAGGATTTGTTTTGATTTGTTTGGCTTCACAAGACATTAACTGATGGACTGGAGTGGTGTGGGTTACTTGTGGATTATTGTGATGTTTTTATCAGCTCTCATTCTGACGGCACCCATTCACTGCAGAGCATCAATTGGTGAGCAAGTGATGCAATGCTACATTTCTCCAAATCTGATGAAGAAACAAACTTCTTGGATGGTCTGAGGGTTGAGTACATTTTCAGAATCGTTTTGGGTGAACTATTCCTTTAAAATCCAAAAACTCCCTGTTTGCATATTTTTACTGAATATAGAAGGTACATGTATAACAATAGAAAACTCTGTAAACAGCTGTAAATGTAGCGAATGGGCTATTCTATAAAGTCTCAATGCTATATCTGTGTGGTCACAGGAGTCAGATGTTGACGAAGAAGACTTAAACGAGCTTTTAAATGACACGCGTCTGCTGAAGAAACTCAAGAAAGGAAAGATCAGTGAAGAGGACTTTGACAAGCACTTGAGTTCAGCGGGCAGCTCACGTCCCAAACGAGCAGAGGCGAACAGTTCTGATGGAGACGGAGAATGAACTGTCATTTCTGTGACTTTATGCGCCTAAATTGACTGTCATTTGACTTAAATATGCAGATATGCTGTATCAGCAGTGTCATTTTCATTCTGGTTGTCTGTGTACTGTACAAGAAGGATGCGTTCTTAACAAATGCGCTTCTGTATTAATTATCAACCATATACATCAATGTCCAAATATGATAAATAAACATTTCTATTGGAAAAGTAAGTGTTTTCAAGGCTCTCTTTGAAATATTTCATTTAAAATTTAAAAATTTCATTAAATAAAAATTCATTTGGCCCACATACAAAAAGACAAAAAAATGTTTACTGTGAAAAAAATAATATTACAAATCAGTCTCAATATTATTTAGAAATTTAATTAAATTTTCTACTCAAATAACTGTACTGGTAGATTCAATATTTATTCATTTATTACTTTATTCATTTATTATTATTTAGTCATTTATGTTCTTATTTTAAGCCATTTTTATTTATTGTTTTACTCAATTTTTATTTTATGTAATTTTATTTTTATTTTAAATAAAATTTTATTTAATCAATTAATTTTTTTAGTCTATTGTAATCTATTAGATTTTTTTATAAATAAAATATTTTATTTGTCTGTTTATTTTTATTTATCTATTTATTTACGTTTTTACATGGTTTTTCAATTAATATTTCCACAGACCCCCTAGCACTCCCTTTTTGTCCCATGGGGGTCTCGGACCCCATTTAGAAAACCCCTGCTTAAACAATACCATAGTACTTCCTATTTTTTTTGCTAGAGCAAAAATATACGTCTTAAAACATGATCGTACCACCGCACAATTGCAGATGTGTCTTTTACAGTGACACTGAATGACACATGACTCCATGCTCCTGTTAAAGTCTTTCCGGAGTGCTCGCTCTGCGCATGCGCACCAATTAATCCTGCTCAGCTCCATCATGGCGGCGAGGGGCCATGTGCAAGACCCCAACGACAGGAGACTGCGACCCATTTACGGTAAGATTCACATCACACGCCTGAGCTTATACAGACCTAGCGGGTCTGACTAGTGCTATAGGGCCGGCATATGCGTTATTGAGTGTAGTGAAGGGCTGCAGGAGCTGTGGAGAGCCGGTGAGGCCTGTGGAGCTGAAGCCGCGGTGTCGGTTCGGCTGCGGCGCCGGATGACAGTGCGTCCTTAAGCGGGCACACTGTGACATTTCAATCGGTAGAATAGAGCCTGTTTATAGCCCACCTAAACACTGAAATACTGTTTAAATATCCAGAGATCTGTGTTAATGTCATTTGATCAACCGGTTCATTACTTGTTTGAGATGTCAAAGAGATTAAAAGACTCAATATGAGCCATTTGTGCTTTAATTTGTCGTCTTTTCTATGGGTTGTTATGTGTACAGAGTCTCAGACAGATGCTTTACATGCTTAATAATTTATTAATGCTGTAATAACATGAGTAGTTACATTATAGATACATAAAGCTGAGCTTTGAGGCTAAATGATCTGAAGATAGACCTGCATATTGTCTTCCAGAGATTAATTGTATGCCTCTTTGTTTATATCATTTTGAGCTATTGCGTTTTAATTTGGGAAATTTTCTCCAAAGCTGTGCAGAAATGCCCTATAAATGGCTTTAAATGCCTGAACCCTTAAACTTTGTTGGTCTTAATGCATAGCCTTGTGGGACACCACTGATATTTGTGTTTTATCTGCCAAGATAGTATGATATCTTACTGTATGCATGTCAATGCTTGTGCATGTAGTAAATATTAATGCATTTGCGTATTTTATGCTGCTTACATTGCAAACTCATTAAAGGGGTCATATGATGCGATTTCAATTGTTCCTTTCTCTTTGGAGTGTTACAAGCTCTTGGTGCATAAAGAAGATCTGTAAAGTTGCAAAGACTAAAGTCTCAAATCCAAAGAGATATTCTTTATAAAAGTTAAGAGTCAGCCACGCCTACCTAAAACGCCTCATTCTAACACACCCCCACATATCTATGTCACGATGTGGGAAGATTTGCATAACGTCGCCAAAATGTTCACGCAAAGAAAGAAGGCGTAACTTTTATTCTTGCTGTAGTATTGTTGCTGCTGCCGGCGCCATGTCGTGAAGGCGCTGTGTGTTTCGTTGTGAAAGCGAAACTACTTTGTTTGGTCTTCCAAAAGAGGACGATAT